AAAAACATTTATAGATCATGTTTATATCCAACTTTGTAGGTTTGGTGAAGTACTACAATACTGCGTTTAAAAAAAAATAGTTTTAGCCGCTGTATTGATAAAAGGATTAAACAAACATGCGTTCGGACACACACTTTTCCAATATTTTTTTGTATGTTGACAATATTAAACAGTGTCTTTTTCTTAATATATTTCTCAATAATATGTATTGAGATTTCGTAAACTGCATTTCAATATAAACACTCAAAGCTTCATCATTGTCGAAAGGAATGGAACATTCTTCCTCATTGAGCATTTTAATAATTTGTCCTTTTTTTCTCTGCTAGTCGATCTTAATAGCTCTATTATTTCTGCTTCTTCTGATTCATGAATAGATCGTAATCCTTGGATATATGCACTGCGCAAGTGATCAAGACCTGTTTCTTTAATCAAAGCCGTGTTTTTCTTTTTCTTCGTCAGATTTGAAGCTTCTTCGAAAGATGTAGATGGTCGCCCTCTTTTCACTGAAGACGAAGAACATGCCTGAGAATCAGGGACTTCTACGCAAAATTCCTCATTCATCCAATCCTCATATCTTTTTAGGAAAAACGTTTTATTTCGATTGCACTTATTCCAACGTGTATTGAAACATTTTTTTCGCATATATTAAATTTACCCTCTATGTAAATTCTTATTGCAGAATCACTTGTATTGTTATTTATGTAAGACAAAATTAAATCTTTTTTTTTTTTACACTTAAATTCTTCCATTATTAATAACTCTTGTTACACCAATATTTCAAATTATACAACTCACAAGAAACGTTTCATACAGACAAAATGTGACTATGAAGAATTTAGTTGCAGTTCTGTTATTTTTTGCAACAAATATAACATTGTTCTAAAAATAAACATTGAAGTCATCGGCTTCAGAGCGCGTAATAGGAAAGTAAATCTCCGAAAAATAGAATAATGCGCAGCTGCCATTACGAAACAACAACAACCACATTGGCGGTGTAATCTTCTCTGACATACTCTCATTTTGACTAACAACAAAAACTGATCAAAATAACTCGCTTTAAGTGCATTCGCACCTACAACATAAGGAACAATAGATCAATAACCACATAGCACAAATATAAAGCATATACTTTATTACATGCATGATGGCTTAGCAAATAAGACTCTGGTGATTCAAAAAGCAGTTGCGGGTTCGAATCCCACCAAAGGCATTTTTTTTTTTTTAATATTATTTACACAATAATTCTTTATGATAATATTTGACATTTTAACAAAAATATAAAAAACTAATTTTGTTTAATTTTATTGGAAAAACTCAAAAAAATTCATATTCCAAAATATAGTGGTTAAAGTATTTTGTAAATATTTTGCAGGCTAGCAGGTATTAGCAGCTAAAATTTTTAGGACGGATAAGTGAGATACATAGCAATTTACCTGTGCTAATATCTAAGTGGCGGGGAGTGGCGGCAAAACTGTAGTTCCACTTTAAAATCAAATTCTTCAAATTTTAAGATTGATCGAAAAATTAGTTGGATTTTTTTTTTTTTTAAACAACTTTAATAAAAAATGAACACTGTGGTATTTGCAATAAAATTATCTTTTTATAGAGGTATCATACGTATGTATGACTTTTATACTCTTATAGTTATACAACTTCAAACTTTTAGGTGTTATAACTCAACTTTTTTGATTATACATATATAGTAACTTTATGCAAAGATATTTCCTAAAGAAAAATAAAATCTATTGATAAATGTAGTAAAATATGTCAATTTGGACACATTTTTATTAAAAAAACACAAAAAACAGTATATGTCAAACACGTCAAATTTTGAATTTATCTACGCTCTTACACTAGCAGGAACCATTGTGCTTCCGTAGACTCTCAGCACCCCATCTTCGTCAGCATAAGGACAGAGTTGATATAACTCGCTGTCCCGCGTGATTGTTTGTTTTTCAGCAATACTTTTTAACTCGGCGGCATAAATTTCCTTTTGGACCAAACGACACAATGTTATCTGCGCCTTCTCGATTTCCTCTGATATTAACCCATACGCTTGCTGGTCTGTTTTCTGCATTCTGCATCGTGAAATAAATCTGAGAATCCAGGCGATTGTACGTCCAAGTTTATTAAAAGATGAAAAACGACTAAAATCAATTAACGCATTACGCGCGGCTATCAATACAAATTTCGGCTTAATCTCCTCGTCATCGGCTCCCTTTGCTACTGTTTTCCCAACGGCGTCAGCGTCAGGCCAATGCCCTTGTAAGCCTTTTAGGAATGTCGGCCCACTGAACCAGCGCGATGTCGGCGAAATGTCTATTGGACACTTGGAGCGCGTAGCTTCGTCGGCAACATTGGTGGACGTAGGCACCCATCTCCAGTTGCTTGGTTTTGATCCATCAAGAATCTCCGCAATCCTATGAGCGACGAAGGGCTTGTATCGGCGATTCTCGCATTTATACAATTTAAAACGGTGCTTGAATCGCTCCATAGGAAACAGTCGTTAATTTTAAAGGAATGTTCATTGAAAATCGTTTTCATCAGCCTTATTCCTAGAACAGCTGCTTGTAGTTCAAGGGGCGGAATTATTAGCGGCTTTAATGGAGCAGTTCTAGTTTTAGCGCATACAAATGTTACTCTTATCATGTCACAAGCAGTAACGTATCTCTAGTAAGCTACCGCTGCGAATGCGTCCTCGCTTGCATCCACAAATACGTGCAGTTGTAATTGCTTCACAGGTTTACTATCAAAATAATGGCGCGGAATTCTACATTGTTCTACGTTGGGGATTTGCTGTCGGAACCTCTCCCATGCTGAGTTGACTTCAACCGGGATGACTTCATCTCATCTGATTTTATGTCTCCAAACTTCCTTTAATAGTAACTTGGCACTGATCGTGAAGTGGCACAAAACCCCTATGGGATCGAGTATAGACATGACTATGCTAAGAAGCTCCCTTTTTGTTGGGCATCTTGAGCCATCCAAGACAGTCTTATCGGTATAATTAAACTTTACCTTGAAATTAAAATCGTCACTGCTAGGTCGCCAGTACATCCCTAAAACCTTTTCAGACGCAAAGGTTTCTTTACTTTTGATGTCCAATGCGAATTTTTCACCTCCTAATGATTTCGATACATCGGGCGAGTTAGATGCGAAATGACGTAATATGAATCCAGCGTGTTTATGGATATCACACACCTGCTTAGTGACGTTGATAGCTTCAGCAACGGACTCAAAACTGTCAACGAAATCGTCCACATAGTGGTACTCAAGTATGGCTTTAACTGCTCGTAAGTTATCGGCTTGGCGGTGTTTCAAGGCGCTCACCGTCTTCACATGCTGCGCTACACATGGTGAGCAGGCTGCTCCAAATGTCATCGCTACCATCTCGTAAACGTCAGGCGGCTTTGTATCGTCTCCTCCTCGTCATAGGAATCGCTGAGCATATCGATCGTTGGGCTGAACCACTACCTGTTGGAACATTTCCACTATATCACCGCAGACCGCCACAGGACCCTCTCGAAAATGGAACAGTATTGCAGCAAGCGGACGGTAATCCTGCGGTCCTTTTAGAAGGTGCGAGTTAAGTGATGTTCCATTCGAAAAAGCTGCTGCATCAAAGACGAGACGCAATTTCGCCGGTTTGTTTGGGTTGACGACCACGAAGTGTGGTAGGTACCAAATCCTTGGATTGTACGTGGTGATTTCGTCAGCAAGCAGCTTGCGAGCGTAGCCCTTTTTAACATAACCGTCAATGATTGCACTATACGCTGTGGCGAACTCCTTATTAGGCTTCATTTTTCGCTCAATACCAATTAACCGCTTAAGAGCCATTGCATAACTTTCAGGCAGCACAGTATCGTCTCCATAGCAAACCTGCTTGAAATTTCCCGTTGATCTGCAAAGTGGTAGCTTCCAAAATTTCCTTCGCACGTATGTCCTCAGCTAAGTATTGGCGGCACCGCTTTCACTCCAAAGTTTTCTGTTTGAAAATAGTCAGAAACAATATCGTGAAGCTCCAACTCCCCTGGCGCATGTAGCATCAAACATGTAGCATTTGAATTAGATCCTGTATTAATCTGTCCGAAAATTACCCAACCAAGCTCAGTATTTGCTGCGTATGGGCCGTTCCCTCTAATGCCCATGGTCTCAGTAGGTAACCCGAGATGACAGTGATCTAAACCTATAAGAAGCTTCGGTTTAATATCGGAGTAAAACGACGGGGTGAACTTGCTATCAAGCTTCAAGCTCTGCAAGTCTTTTTCTGACAAAGTTTGCGTAGGTAGGTTAAGATTGTTTACTCCGTGAATGTTGCGTAGCTTATGCCTCTTTCTTAATCCACGTCCGTTTACGTAGAGATCAACCAAAACTGTGGGCTCCTGAATCGGTTTACCCCCGAACCATTGTATGTCAAGCTGCTTTCGTTGACCACTGACACCCAACTCCTCCAACACGTCTCTGTCGACCATTGTCACCAACTTCATCTAATAATGCGTATACATCTATACTTATAGCTGGCCCATGGAGGGTCACAGCCACTACACGAAAAAGTAATTTATTTCTGGGATTATTGTTGGCTTTGCAACTTAGAACTGCCTCATTTGATGAATTGGAAGTCTGGGTTGTACAATTTGTTGTGAGGCTACCTGTTTCGCTCGTGCTCATATTCTGCTGTTCGTGTAAAAGTTTATTATGCTTCCCTCCGCAACCATTTATCGCGCACGGTTTTCGTTTGTGACAATCTCGGGTAGAGTGACCATAGTTCAAACAACTAAAACAAAGTCGATGTCGTCTGACCATAGACCAACGATCTGCTAAGCTCGCATCTAAAAATCGCTTGCACTCAAATGTTTTATGCTTTGCGCTACATACTGAACACTTAAGGGTACTTGTGACGTTGAATTTCAGCGACATGGAAAACTGGTCGACGTCGAGGTTCTCGTGGCTCATTATCTAGCGCAACAGAAATTAAGGCGGCGATTTCTGAAAGCCAGTCACTAAAATGTTGAATGTTTGGATATATATAAACGCTCGTTATTTTCAAAATGTGAATTACCATAGGCGGCAGTCGACTCGACGTAAGCTGTGTAAAATATTGGCCAGTCTTCCGGCTGACCAAAAAACTCCGGAAGATCAATCAGTTTTCTATGTGCGATTGTAGAACCAAAAACGTTTATTTGATTATTTGCTGCTCTTTGCAGTTGTATAGCAGAATCTACCGAATTAGGAGTTGGCGAACTGGCATAAGGTGACGCGCGGTTATTTAAACTTGGAGCAAATGTCGTTGGATGCGTGTACACTGGTTCCGTAAACATATTTTGTTGCAAGGCGTTAGGCGACATGTTGCTATCATGTTGCTGTATATGCGCAACGGTATTCACTTGGCTCGAAATTGTTGTTGTTGGCCTGGCGCAACTTTCGATGGTCTGTGTAACTGGAGCAGCCGAAAAAACGTTATTTTGCCTAGCTGTTAATTTCCTATCTTTTCCCAACTCTGATTTTGCTAACCTAACTTCTGCTTCTTTAAGTTGGCGCTGTAAAATTTCTATTTGGTTCTGCATACAAATAAGAATGCTTTCTACCGAATGCGACTGTACTGTTGGAGAAGCTGATCCTGGATTGGCGCCGCTAACTTCGGCAGGTGGCACTGTGGAAAGGGCAATTGATCTACCGGCGACGCTACTACCGTTTGTGGAACAAGCATTTGATTCCACGTGAGCTTTACGTGTTTGCTGAGCAGGCAAATTTTGTTGCACGGAATTGGGCTGTGCAGGATTGTTCAGCAACTCTATGCGTGGTGTTTTCGTGGTGGTGGCAGAGGGCATATGCAAAGTATGTACAAGGCTTACCTGTGGGGTTGATGACTGGTGTTGCGACGGGGCAGCGACAGAGGCAGAAGAGCTGCTCATGGCTATTGTGGTGGTACCCGATGACTTTGCGGCGGTTGCAGATGCGTTGGAAGGAGTAGATTTAGTTTCCGTCGACGAGGCGGCAACTTCGTTTCCTGGTGCACTCGTGTTTGGCATATTTCTGGGACTCCGGCGTGGTGGAGTGCCCATTCGCCTCACTTTGAAACAGATCCTTTAATCGCTGAACAAAAACGAAAAGGCGCAAAATGGCGCGCTTCGACAGTCTCTTTAGGCTTTGGCACAAAAAACGGCAATTACAAAATGGCGGCAAATTCGCGGAATTATAAGATTGCGAAATAAAATTGTCATTTGCCGAGGGCTCCCGAATTTAATCTTCCGTAAAATGAAAAGGCGACGTTTACGGTTTAGCACAGAAATGTGATGGATACAAAAATGGAGATATTTATTTCTAAAAGGCGAATACGTACATATATGTGGTTAATAAATCACAAATTACATTTATAAAAGTTTACTCACCGCAGTTTTCTCGACCTCCTTCTTCAGCAAATGACAAAATTCTAGTGATGGCAATCGCAAATCGAAATGAAGTTAAAGTAATAAAAGGACTGAAGAAGTAGGAGCGAGAAAATGGGTGAGTTCACAAAGGTACGCAATAAAGTCGAATGGGTGAGTTCACAGATGTACACAATAAAGTCGAATGGGTGAATTCACAATCAATGATCATTTTATTACAATAGTATTTAACAACTTGTAACATGTGTTGTTTATCCTCCTCAGTTTTGGACAAAATCCTATTGTACTCTTCTACAAGTTTAACTCCTCTCTCTGCCGTGTCATTTACCACTTTTAAATGCTTTATCCTATTAACAACTGTTATATAACTTCCATTTATTGCCCAACAGTTAAGGTTTGTATAAATAAACTTTTTTTTATTGAAAACCGATCAAAAAATGCTAAACTCCTTTTATTTATAAAGTGATCTTCATAATTACTTAATACTTTTTCTTTACTCCCTTTAAAAAAAAATAAACTTTTTTCCTTCAAAGTAATCGTCTTTCCTAAAGCTGAAACCATGATACAAATATTTAAAGGTAAAACCGCTCGCTCAAGCCGTCGGCCATAATATATTTTTTGAAGCTTGTCTACTTTATAAAATTGAAATTTTCACAGCAACTCAAATGCCAAACAAAAGAAAACGAAAAGCAAATAGATGAAAATATTCAAATTTTCTTTTATTTGAGACAGAAAGTGAGAATATATTTGTGAGATTGAAAATTTGAAAACATTTTTGTTATGTTAGCAAACTTCAAATATGTTCAGGCTGCCTCTCAGCGGTTTTACCTTCAAATTTTTGTATCATGGCTGAAACCATTTTTTACTTTCTTTCATTTGAAAATTTTTCATCAAATAAGATGTCTGGGAAGTTGGCATACGGTATGACGCAAAACGACAAAAAAAGTTGTTTTGAGTAGCCTTCCAATAGTTCTAGAGTTCTTTAAAAAGAAAGAAAAAGTTCTGGATATTTTGACAAAAAAAAATTGTTTCAAAAATTGTGTATGCCAGATTCACAAAGGGGAAACAAAAAGTTCTGAAAAATTACGGCGAAAAAAAAGTTTTTGGAAAAAGTCGAAAAATTTAAATTTTTGAAAAAATATAAATTAAATCTGTTCTGAGTAGCTGTTCAAAAGTTCGACAGTTCCTGAGAAGGACAAGGGAAGTTCTGCAAAATTACGCCGAAAAAAAAAATTTTTCGAAAAAGTCGAAGAAGTTAAATTTAAAAAAATTTAAATTTTAACTGTTCTGAGTAGCCATTCAAAAGTTCTAGAGTTCCTGAAAAGGAAAAACAAAGTTCTCCAAAATTACGCTGAAAAACATTTTTTTCGAAAAAGTAAAATAAGTTAAATTTTGAAAAATAAAAATAAAATTATACTGCTCTCAGTAGTTTTCCAAAAGTTCTAGAGTTCCTGAGAAGGAAAAAAGGTAGTTCTGCAAAGTTACGCCGAGATACTTTTCGAAAAAGTCAAAAAAGTTAAATTTTGAAAAAAAACTAATTAAAACTGTTCTGAGAAGCTTTTCAAAAGTTCTAGAGTTCCTGAGAAGGAAAAAGAAAGTTCTGCAAAATAACGCCGACAAAACATTTTTTCGAAAAAGTCAAAAAAGTTATATTTAAAAAAAATTTAAACTGTTTTGAGTCGCTTTTCAAAAGTTCTAGAGCTCATGAGAAGGAAAAAGAAAGTTCTGTAAAATCACGCCGAAAAACAATTTTTTTTTGAAAAAATCGAAAAAATTCAGAATTAAAAAAAGTAAAACTGATCTGAGTAGCTTTTCAAAAATTCTAGAGTTCATGAGAAGGAAAAAGAAAGTTCTGCAAAATTACGTCGAAAAACATTTTTTTCAAAAAAGTTCAAAAAGCAAAATTTTTTAAAAACTTTAAATTTAAAACTGTTCTGAGTAGCTTTTCAAAAGTTCTAGAGCTCCTGAAAAGGCAAAAGAAAGTTCTGCAAAATTACGCCGAAGAAAATTTTTTTTTTCACACTGGCCGAAAAAGTTTAATGTTTGAAACAAATAAAAATTAAAAGAGTTCTGAGTAGCTTTTCAATAGTTCTACAGTTTCTGAGGAGGAAAGAGGTAGTTATACAAAGTTACGCCGAAATATTTTTTTTTTTTTGAAAAAGCCATAAAATAAAATTTTGAAAAAAATTAAACTGTTCTGCGAAGCTTTTCAAAAACTCTAGAGTTTCTGAGAAGGAAACAGGAAGTTCTGCAAAATCACGCCGAAAAAAAACTTTTTTTTTGAAAAAGTCGAAAAAGTTCAATTTAAAAAAAATAAAATTTAGGTCTGTTATGAATTGCTTTTTAAAAGTTCTAGAGTTCCTTGGAAGGAAAAAGAAAGTTCTGCAAAATTACGCAGAAAAGAAATTTTTTCGAATGTTACATGTTTGAAAGAAAAAATTAAAAATGTTCTGAGTAGCTTTTCAATAGTTCTAGAGTTCCTGAAAAGAAAAAAGGAAGTTCTGCAAAATTACGCCGAAAAAATATTTTTTTCGAGAAAGTAATGACTTTTGCTAAAATCTCAAAATCAAAAGTTACATTCTTGAAAAAAAAAAATTAAAACTGTTCTGAGTAGCATTTCAATGCTTCTAGAGTTCCAAAAAAAAAGGAAAAAGAAAGCTCTGCAATGTTAAGCCGGAAAAACAAATTTTTCGAAAAAGTCAAAAAAGTTTCATTTTCAATCTCATAAATTATAATGACTTTTTGCTAAAATTTCAAAATCAAAAGTTATCAAAACAAATTCTATGGGAATGAGAAATATTAATTTCTACTTTTTAGTCCATTTATAAAAGTGTGGTATATTAAAAAGTTTTTTTTTGTTTTATTTATTTTCTACTTTGTAGTCTTGTCTGTATAAAATTTTGCAATAGATACATATATTAAAATAATTCAACGGTATTAATAGATTGGTGCTTATACATATTAATGCGACACTCTCAACGTCCCAAAACGGCCACTGGAGCTCAAATCAACCAACTGGACCCAAAATGGTACGAAAGTGATAAGTTTCGGACTAGCCCCAAACTATTTCACAGCTAGTAACCAACTGGTCCCCAAAGACTAGTTACCAACTGGGACTAAACTGGTTACTAACTGGGACTAAACTGGTTACCAACTGGGCCCCCCCGTACCCCAAGTGGTTCCCAAGTCACTCCACCAAATTCACCCACTGACACAAACACAATGTGTTCGTCTCTGTCTAGCCCTTCGAAATTTTTTGCTGGGCTATGCGTTGCATCTTCGTCAATTTTACCACTACCGAAACCAAAGATGTATATGTTACCGGAAAAACTAGTTTTGACTAGGCTAAACTAGATCAGGCGCCACAGTATTTTTGAGCAGAACTGCTTTCTGCGTAAGCGGCCTTCGGCCGCGCTTCAAAAAAATAACCCTCATCAGTCCAACTCCAACTACGTAGTCAGTGTTGCCGCGCCGTCTCAAGAAAATGTATCACTGACCAAGCCAAAAAAGTATCCAAATGTATCCAGTTTTCTTTTTTTACGTATATATCTCATAATTTTCAAGAAAAAGACATAATTTAACCCATCCTAAGGACTTGGAATACATGTATATATGTTTTTATTTTTCATAAAATCAAACATTTGTAATTTCAATTTATAAAGTACACTTTTTGTGCATAAGTATTTTATAAAGTAAGTATAATAAATAGTAAGTACACTCCCAGCAATGGGTTGTGCGCTGGGCTTGGGACCCGCCACGTAAAAACCACTTCCAGTGAAGAAGCAAGGCAAAGCCTCGGATGAGACCCCCCCTTATGATGACGACCACGGCAAACGTTTAAAGGACTACGATTTGAGGGCATGCACCTGGAATGCCCGGACCCTTAATGGGGAAGGTGCCTCTGCCCGGCTGGTTGATGTCCTCGTAAGGACAAAAGCTGACATCACCGCCATCCAAGAAATGCGTTGGACGGGGCAAGGCAAACAATGTCTGGGGCCTTGCGACGTCTACTACAGCTGCCATGTAAAGGAGCGCAAATTCGGTGTTGGATTTGTGGTGGGAGAGAGACTCCGTCGCCGAGTACTGTCGTTCACCCCGGTGGACGAGCGTCTAGCCACAATCCGCATCAAAGCGAGATTCTTCAACATCTCGCTCATCTGCGCCCATGCCCCGACGGAAGAGAAGGATGAGGCATCCAAGGATCTCTTCTATGAGCGCTTGGAGCGCACGTACGAGCGCTGCCCCCGTCATGATATCAAAATCGTGTTTGGCGACTTCAATGCCAGGGTGGGCAAGGAAGGGATCTTTGGAACCACCGTCGGAAAATTCAGCCTCCACGACGAAACGTCTGACAACGGATTGAGGCTGATCGACTTCGCCGGGGGCCGAAACATGGTAGTACGCAGTACTAGGTTCAAGCACAAAAAGATACATCAAGCTACGTGGCTGTCTCCGGATCGAAAAACGAGAAACCAAATCGATCATGTGGTGATAGACGGAAGGCACGCTTCCAGTGTTTTAGACGTACGCACACTCCGAGGCCCAAACATCGACTCGGACCACTATCTTGTTGCAGCCAATACGCACCCGCCTCTGTGCAGCAAAAACTGTGCGCCCAAATATGCAAGGAAAGCTTAACGTCGAAAAGCTGCAATCACAACAGACAGCCAGCGCTTTCGCTACTCGACTCTCACACCTGCTCTCAGAGAGCACTCTTCAACAAACCGACATATGCGAGCAGTGGAACCACATTCCCCGCTCATTAAGTACCGCCGCCGAAGAAGTAGTCGGATTTCAGCGAGCCCGAAAGAACAACTGGTACGATGAGGAGTGTCAGGAAGCTGCAGAGAAAAAAGATGCCGCCTACAGGGCCACGCTGTGATCGGGCACACCGCGCGCTATGTGGGACCGCTATAGTGATCTGAAGAGGGAAGCGAGACGTATTTGCCGCAACAAGAAGAGAGAGGCCGACATACGTGAGTGCGAAGAGCTTGAAATGCTGGCCGACAGGAGGAATGCCCGAAAATTTTACCAGAGAGTTAGGCGACTTACGGAAGGTTTAAAGACCGGGGCGCACTCCTGTAAGAACAATAATGGCGACCTAGTAACCGATGTCCAGAGCGTACTTAAATTATAGAGGGTAGCAGCACGGAAAGTTGTGGAGAAGAAGAACCCGAGCCCGCAGTCGATGATGACGGAGTCGACGTTCCACCGCCTGACTATGACGAGGTACGTATAGCAATAACGCGGCT